AAATAGTCAAGAAGAGCTAGAAGCGCTCGGTTTCTCCAATGTAAGTCTGACTAAGTTGCAGAAGTCAAAAGAATAAAAAAAGCGCGTACAGAATTGAAAAATATAACCCCAAAAATCCACTCGTAAGAGGTAGCTACTTCAGAAAGAAAAATAATATTAATCCGAATACGGAAAAGGAAACATGAAACTGTCTGATGGAACTCCAAAAACTTAAAAATGATAACCCATTAGCGTTTTGTTACATACTTAAAGAACTAAAACAGACTAATTCCACAAACCAGCGGCCACTTGGGTAATTTGCCATTTTTAGCTCCATGAAAAATCTAGATTAGAAAGACAAGAGTTTGATTCTAAGTTTGAAACGACCATTATAAACAAACTCAAAATACTTTAAAATCGTAACCATTCCCACGGCCCATTAGACTATGATATTACAGAATATGAAATCGACACTGCCATTCAAAGACAACAAAAAGGCTAGCGGTCAGGACATGATAACTAAAGATAATGTTGAAATTAGGTAAATCTCTCATACTACGCCCCGGCCCCTCATTGCTCTATTTAATGACGCCCTCTCAACAGGAACCTTCCCCAGGGAATGGTCCAGAAGATTTATTGTCCCAATATTCAAAACAGGAAAAAAGGACGACACAAATAATTATCGAGGCAAATCTGTATCAAACCTCCTAGGAAAACTGTTCACCACAACATTGAACAAAAGACTCTCGATGTCTTTTGAGCAAAATGAAATCATAAAAACAAACCAGACAGGATTCCATTAAACATTACAAAACCTCGGACAATGTTTTTCTTTTAAAGACCCTAATCTCTAAACACACCCAACCAGGAAAGCAGCTTTTTGCCTGCTTTGTAGACTTATCAAAGACATTTGACTCCATCTGGCACGAGGGTCTACTATTCAAACTTTTATCAGCAGGTATATCGGGAATATTCTAGAAGCCAACATGGCCTACAAAAAACAATCTAAACCGCTTGACAAACTTGGGTTTGATTCGAATTCCCTAACCAATAATTTCCACTTTGCATGTTTTTTGCACCAAGCAAAACATAAATACAACCTACTGTGTCCGTAGTGTCACATGTACTGTAATGGGTTGCGCAACGGTTAAGTTTTTTCAGCATAACAATTTTTCGCCATGTAGTTAACGGTGGCTGGACCATCTGGGGCGCATGGTCTAGCTGCAGCGTGACGTGTGGAGTCGGGACGGAGACTCGGGACAGAACCTGCACCAACCCTGCACCAGAGAACGGTGGGGCAGAGTGTGACGGTGCCGCTCAGGAGACAAGGTCTTGTGACACGGGACTTTCTTGTCCAGGTAACTCGAAGTTTTACTGCTGTCACCATATAGAGCTGAAGATCATTTTATCAGAAAATGTAGGATTCTAAACTTAAAATCAGTTATATTCCCTGTTCTTTTGCACTTTGCATGGGTACAATCAGCAGAGTCTATATACCTCCTACAAAGCAAGCACAACTTCAGTTAATTTGTCTTCATGTAGTTGACGGCGGTTGGTCGAGTTGGGGCGGATGGTCCAGCTGCAGCGTGACGTGTGGGTCCGGGAGCCAGTCTCGTCACAGAACCTGCACCAACCCTGCACCAGCATACGGAGGGGCGAACTGTGCCGGATCCGCTCAGGAAACACGACAATGCAACGCGGGGTCTTGCCCAGGTAAGTCGAAGCTAAACATGTAAATAATTCAATGTTTTCTTCTTCATCTAAAAAAGATTCTATCGTCCTGTATGCCACCGGCAAAGTTGACAATATTAACAACTAATTGGTGTCCATTCCGCTTGACAAACTGGGGTTTGATTCCCTAACCAAAAACTTCCACTTTGCATGCTTTTTGCACCATGCAAAACATAAATGAAACCCACTGTGTCTTCATATCACATGTTATCACATGTACTGTAATGGCAACGGTTAAGTTTTTTCAGCATAACAATTTTTCTCCATGTAGTTAACGGTGGCTGGACCATCTGGGGCGCATGGACTGGCTGCAGCGTGACGTGTGGAGTCGGGACGGAGACTCGGGACAGAACCTGCACCAACCCTGCACCAGAGAACGGTGGGGCAGAGTGTGACGGTGCCGCTCAGGAGACAAGGTCTTGTGACACAGGACTTTCTTGTCCAGGTAACTCGAAGTTTTACTACTGTCACCATATAGAGCTGAAGATCATTTTATCAGAAAATGTAGAATTCTGACCTTAAAATCATTCCCTTTCTTTTGCATTTTGCATGGGTATAATCAACAGTGTGTATATATACCTCCTACAAAGCAAGCGCAACTTCAGTTAATTTGTCTTCATGTAGTTAACGGTGGTTGGTCCGACTGGGACCAATGGTCTAACTGCAGCGTGACGTGTGGAGTCGGGACGGAGACTCGGGACAGAACCTGCACCAACCCTGCACCAGAGAACGGAGGGGTAGACTGTGACGGTTCCGCTCAGGAGACAAGGTCTTGTGACACAGGACTGTCTTGTCCAGGTAACTAAGTTATACTGCTGTCACTGTGGATCTAAACATCATTTATGAGGAGGTGTAAGATTCTGAACTTAGAATATGTTATAACTTATATTCCCTGCTTTTTGTACTATACCAATCAGCAATACCCAGTCCCTAGGTAGCATGCGGGAACATGGGCCCTTGTTATATAATTACTTAATTACATAGTAACTTCTGATTTACCAATTCCAGTATTTTGCATAATAGATGCGATATGGCACACGTTCCTAGTGATGAATGATGGGAATTTCATACTTGTGACTTGATTATAAAGGTTAACGTAACCATGCATATATTATCTAGATGTGTGAGTCCTTTGTTCATAATGAAATGTTAAACTAGAAAGGCCAATATTTGCTTTGGAGCAAATATAGCGATGGGTTCACCACATTTTACGACATGGCAGGGAAAGAATGAGAAACACAAAGGAAAACAATGATTTACATTGATATAACTATAATATGAAGTAACATACAACTAAAACAACAGTTGGATAGCTATTCCCTACTTTATTGGTTAGGATTTTTAATTGCATAATGCAAATAGTGCAGGTGTTAATCAAGTTAAATCCCAACAGCCAATCAGCAAGAAATGCTCTGTGCAGGTGGAAATGCTCTGTGCAGGTGTTAATCAAGTTAAATCCCAACAGCCAATCAGCAAGAAGTATAGAGGAAAGCTGCATGTCTATTGGTTGATGCCCTGCATTCCATTGTGATGACTCATGTCCAAACGTGGTAAACACTTGGCACACTAACACAGTAATACATTTGCTATAACACAGCCAAAAAACTCAAATAAAACCATTCTAAAAGCCTGTATCACAATAATTTAAAAAACGCCTAGGGGTATTTGCCCACTGTACCTCCATACCAAATTTCAGGACCTTGGGCCCTAAAATGAAGAAGCTGAATCCATTTAAAAAATGGCAGGAGAAGGAGAAGGAGGAGAAGGAGAAGGAGGAGAAGAAACATCAGAAAAAGCAATATGGGTTCACCACCACTTCGTGGTGTGGTGAACCCATAAAAAGGAATTCTGCCAAGAATAGGACCTCTTCACGTAAAATTCATGTAATTTGAATACAAAAGGCCATCCAAAAACGTAAGTTACAGCTAAATCAATCATCAACATAATCAACGAGACCAGGTAAAACTAGGCATTAAAAAGCCCAATCAGCTGACTGAGGCATTAGCCTTCGTTGTTAACACGACACAAGTCGTGATACACACAAATGTAGTTTATAAATGGCTTAACATTTGGTATCTACCCAATCCTTACAGATCCATGGCAAGAGATTTTTACCACCGTGAAAGGAACTGGACAGACCGTTTACTACGCGTGGAATGCTAGTTCTGATGCAGATGTTCGCCACATCAAGTGTCCAGCTGTAGAACATTGGGAATCACTAAACATCCAGAGGGTAAGCTTCTCCTTTTATTTTCTTTTGCTTGAATTGTTGCATGCCAATAGTTAGGAAAAAACAACAACATAAGAGTAACTAATCATTTTAATGCAAGCCAATTATTAATACATTTCATTGTTATATCCATATTATCATCAATATACTGTAGGGAATAACATTAAATGTAATTGGAATTAGGACTGGGTTGAAGCAGTAAAAACTGAATAAGTAAACTAAGAAATAAAGTCTCAATAACTAGAACTAATCATAAAGAAAGAATAAAGAGATTTTAGTTCAGAAGTAAAATTGTCTTCTTTTGTAGGTGAAGGTTGTGTTGGAGTCCGAGGAGGGAAATGTAGAGTTGATCTTTAATGGGACAAACACAGACAAGTTCAACTGGTTCTCCAAGTCTCGTCTGCTCTCATCTCCTTGGAACGACATCAAGTCCCAGGGTCAAAACAACTTCTCGATCGAAGGGACCCCACAGTGGAAGAGGTGAATCTTGAACCTTTGAAATGTAATTCTTTGCATGGAATTACCCGATTTGAAGTGCATCTTTACGACATTCAGACTTAATAGGATTCATTGTATAGATTAAAACACGACTTTCTTTTTGCAGGTCTTTTTACATCAATCGCAACTTTGACGGTTGCGCCAATGACACTGGTTGGCTTGTGGTGGCCGACGGCGGTCCGAACGGAGCGTGCCAATGGGAGCGATCCCCCGATGATCAGCTGCCTTACATACGTTACTCTAAAACCATAGGCTACGCCAACTTTAACGGTGCGTCCACTACTTAACTATCCCTATTAAGTTCCGTTTCTACACTGGCAATTACTAGGCAGAATTTTCATATTTGGTCATTTATTTTCGTTTTGGCATTTTCTGGTTACAATAATGCACTGATTTTATCTATCATTGACCAAAACATATGGAAAATCGCTATTTTTTTAGTTTTGTATGGTAAATACTTTGAACAAGTTAGAACAAGCACTTAAGGCGTAGCAAAGACTTCCATTTTGTATCTCTTAGAATTCTATTATTTTACTTATCATTATTCAGGGGATGACATTGCAACGGCCGATCGGATGGTCATCTACATCGACACGCCCGGAAACAACGTAGTGTGCTCCTGCCCTTCTGATCAAGTTGTGGGTGCAGATGGCACCCAGTGTGTTGATGGTCAGTGTTATTATTGCTTGTTGACTACACCGTATTTGTATAATTAAACAATCATTATGGTTTGTATAAGTATCCTGGCGGCATTTCTGGTATAACCTATCCTTACAACTGTCTTCTTTGTGTGGCATATGCATCCTAACAGCTTAATATGCTACTGGGCCTCCTGGTGGATGACCTTGGTACTGCAGCAGAAGGAGGTCTGATTCCAGAAAATAACTTTAACACTGTCCACGCAAAATACTTAATTCAGATTAACTCTTTATAAATAAAGTGATCTTTACAACACGAACTGTTAACATACATCCGTTTGAGAAAGGAATGCTCATGAAGCTAGACATAGGAACATCGTCCTGAAACATGCATTCCTTAGCATATAATATATCATCATTCTAAAATGCTGTTAGTGACCAATAATACATTAAGACGTATAAGATTTAGATCATTTGCTAGTTTATACCCGTTCCCATTTACCTGCATCACATACACCTGTTGTTGTGTAGAAATCAACGGATGCGATCTCAACCCGTGCGTCGCCAATGCTGTATGTACAGACGCTCCTGGGACCGGTGCGACTTGTACGTGTGGCGCTGGATATGAAGGAGATGGAAACAGAAATGGAACCGGATGCACAGGTAGTACTGATATCCAAGCAGATTGACAAGTCAGTATCCAACAGCCTGCATGGGAAGTGACCATAAGTCACTTCGGTGGATATTAGTCACTCCTCAGGCTGATGGATACTGCCTTGTCATTGTTGGATCTGGTTACAATAGTACTTATAATCTTGCCTTTAGATTATGAAAACAGCGACAACCTGCAGAGCCTATCTCTGTTTCCTTTTTCTACAGGGTGCAATAGCAGGCTAAGTGTATAATTCTCGTTTAGTCTACCGAACTCGCTTAGCCTACCGAACTTGGTTCATGGTGGTTGACCAGGTGAAGGGGTACAAATTCAAGGATAGTGTTATTTCTGGTCTGTCTATTGCTGCTTGTAGTTTATTTAAGAGCTTTTATTCAAAATGAAATGAAAATGTATCAAGCAAGAAATTTGCAGACTCTAAACAAGACATTTTCGGTGCCATTCAATAGTTTTACCATCCATTTGTTACCTTTCCTTAAGAGGCTGTAGCTTTGAAACGTTAAACAATAAATTTGGTAGCCTTGAATTTTACGCAGTAATAAGTAATTTTAAATGAAGAATATTCCCAGAAGATTCTATTACATCCTAATTTTAAATCATTTGTAGGGTTGGGTTGGGGAGCTATTGCCGGTATTGTTGTCGGAGCGATTTTAGCAGTGGTTCTGGTAACAGCCACCCTGGTCTTCCTGATCCAAAAGAAACGAGACGGTATGGACAAGGAGGACGGAAGTAAGTAATAGGGGTTTGCTGGCGATGGTTTGTTAAATCTTTCCTTTCCGCATTACTACTATATACAAGGTTTAAGGTGCGTAGCAAGACGCTATTCTGTTAGTATTTCAACACTGTAGCTGTTTAAAGACTTCTAAATCTTTGGCTTATTAGCCTTTACCCAAAGACGTACCTTTAATTTGGCTCATTTAGTAGAAAAATTCTCCCTTCTAAAGATAAAAATCTTGAGCACAGTAACAAAGTTGAGGTAATTTTTTTCTCTTGATCTCGATTTAGTACATTATCAATTAATTATCAGTTACTATATCTCAAGTTTAAATGCGTGTAAGCTACAAAGTTCATGTTATCTCACAACACTGTGACGTCAACAATTTGTAAAAAGTGCCAGCATAACATTAATGTTAATTTTAAATATTTCCAGATGTTAGGGACAACGATGATAAAGTGTATGAAACCATAGACGATGCTTATGTGGCGTCACAACGACCGGGAGGCGGAAGTGACGTGTGCGATGTTCCCATGGAAACCCTCCAGCCGCCAGCCGTCCAATCACGCCAGCCACGTGGCCACCACCTGCAGCTAAAGCAACAACCAGGAAGCGGAAGTGACGGGTACGATGCTCCCATGGAAACCTTCGCCACACCACCCCAGTATGAAAACTTGCCCCATCCGGATCCAAGGATGATGTCACAACCACCCGGAAGCGGAAATGACATGTACGACGTTCCCATGGAAACCTTCCAACCACCAGCCGTCCAACCACCCCAGTATGAAAACTTGCCAAATCCGGATCCAAGTTAAGGATGACGTCACAACGACCCGGAAGCGGAAACGACGATTACATTAGACGATTCCCATAGAAACCGCACAGCCACCCCAGCCTAGTGGCCACTACCAGAGTCTGCTCAAGCAATGAATCGTATATTTGACTTTGAGGCTTTCGAATCCGATGCGATGCAAGCATTAATTGATTGGATAAATAATTGATTAGTTCATCTATTCATTTTGACCACGCGTACATTAGACCATTTTTTTTACCAT